CTTTTTGTTGGGGGGGGGGGGGAAACCACGAATATACAGTCCGCCACTCTAATCACTGAACCGCGTTCGACCCTGGGTGAAATCAGAATAAAACAAACAGAATTTTGTACTTTATCCTAGTTCTTAAAAAAGTGAATATTGAACAACAGTAGAAACATTTCACTAATGGCTAGAAAGAGCATTATTTCATAATTCTGAGATGACACGTAGCCTAATGATTAGCGTGTCGGGCAGAGAGTTGAAGAATCCGAGATTCGATACGTAATGACACTGAACACGCTCCGTCTTTTAAGCTGTTAGCGCGTTACAAAAATAATAGTCAATCCAGTTCTTCGGTCCAAAGAGCCGAAGAAAATCTTCCTTCATGTCAGTAGTTCAGTATTGGGGACGAAAATACCTAAATCCTAGGGTTTCTGACCTGACCATTTTGCCTACGTGTACTTAAGGTGCCATTTTTTCTTTACCTGTTTGATTTTCAGAACTGACAACTTCACTTTCATTTTTAGGCTTGTCTTCTTTAGCCTTCATTTCGTGGGCTTCTGTTTCATTTTTTCCATTCTCCGAGCTGAAGGTTGGATTTACTTCCCCTGTATTGGTCACTGAGACTTCGTAAGAATTATTGCTTTTATTTTCTCGTTTCTTCTTGCTGATCAGATCCTCACGAATTTCAGAACTGAATCGGGTCCCGAAAGTTAATCTATAAAGCTGCAAAGACAAAGTTGAAAGTAAAGATTTGAGTTTCTACAACTTTTCTAAGTAGCATGCTAAATTATGAATATTGGGTGAAATGATGAGGTAAAAAACTGTCGAAATTAAAACAAATGACGTGAAGAAAAACTATCTAGAACTGAACAATAAACAAAGATTGTTTGAGTGATTTCTGTATTTACCCGTTTTCAGAATTTTGTGTTACTTCTCTTTAATCTAATTCATATAATATCATTTACGGTTCCGATAAGAAAAATTACCTGCCAGATAAAAAATTTATACTTTCACGATGACGTTGATTTCTATAAAAACTTAAATAACGTTTCCCTCACTGTTTGCTATAATTTTTAGTCATTTGTTGTATTTTTTTAAAACATTATAAAAATAAAGCAATTTTACAGCTGTTCTCGTTTCGGGATAATAAATCTCTCCTTACTAAAGCAACTCACTTAGACAAGTTGGAATGACTACTTGTAACAGAGTGAGTAACAAAACATGGATTAACCTTAAATGCTATTATATATTACAAATTATGCTATAAATAAAATATCAAATATAGAATATTAAAACTTCAAGTCGTAACACATATATTAATGGAGTAAAGACAAAATGTGTTAAATAAAACGAGTAAACTACTTTTGTTGTTTCAACGACGGATCAACAATGATTATTTTACTGTGATCTTATAAAAATCTGAATCAGCAAAAGAACGTTCATTTGTTTCACAATATAGCACATAAGCAAAATACTGAAGAGGTACAAAACACGTTACTTACGTATTTTATGTCTATTGGCTCAGTGAAAATGCTGATAATTATGGTCACAGCAGACGAAATTGCAAAAAGTATGCACCCGAAATGTAAGTAGTGAACCTTAGCTATTATCGCTGGTTGAAGCTCCGACTGCCCAGAATAAGAAAATTCCCAGATGAAACGAATCAGTCCAACAACTAATCCGACCATCAGACCCCAGAAGGCTCCCTATTATGGAAATAACCAAGAACAACTTCATAATATACATTCTCCACAACATAGAACATAATTTATTTTAAAAATAAATATAAATCTATGATTCGATTCGCAATTTTTCACTGAATTATATGTATTCGGGGAATTCCACCCCTAACCAGTAACTATGGACAAGGGCAAATCGAAAAAACAACAACGACAGATTTTAAACCTTTAACATCTTCTATTACACTCTGTATTACTTGGCAAGGTTATAAACAGATGTAAAATCT